TTTTTTTTTTTTTTTGGTGGAACTGGGGATTGAACTCAGGCCCTTGCACTTGCCAGGCAAGTGCTTCATCCACTGAGCCATCTCCCCGGCCCCTATGTGCCACTATTTTTTCAATTAGCTCATTTATTCTGTTCCTGGAATAAGACGAGATCCGGCATGAGCTCTAGTCCCATTTCTCATCTTCACAGATTTAAGAACTGAACATCTTGTTCCCATAAATACGGAGGGGAGGCTGAAAGTTTTACCATAACAATGTCAAGCAGCTCTTTGACATCTTATGCAATTATGCACTGAACCGTGCTCTAGCGTCAAAGACCAGCAGGGCGTGGAGGGGCAGGGCTGTGACCGCAGCACTCGAGGCTGCCGCAGGGGACTGCCCTGAGTGCGAGGCCAGCCTGGTCTACATACGGATTCAAGGCCAGCCTGAACTACAGAGACCTTCTCTAAATAGACAAATAGTCTTGCTGGGGAGAGAGCTCAGCGGTCTATGCCCCTGCCTGGCAAGCACAAGGACCCAGGTTCAATCCCAGCACCACAGGCCGTGCTGGCCCTGGAACCCCAGGAGCACCACGCCAGGCGTGGTGGCGCACGCCTGTAATTCCAGCATTGGGGAAACTGAGACAGGAGGATTGCTATGAGTCTGAACTGCACAGCAAGACCTTGTATCAAAATAAATATTTGGGGAAAAATATATATTTGGGGCCAGCTGAGATGGCTCAGCGGTCCAAGCGCCCGCCTGGTACTGCATGCCATGCCAGCCCCGGAACCCGGGTACTCTGTGCTGGGCACCACACCGGGTGCCGTGGCACACGCCTGTGACCCCAGCTCTGGGGAGGCTGAGACAGGGGGTCGCTATGAGTCTGAGCTGCATAGTGAGGCCCTGTTGTAAATAAATAAATATTTTTTTAAAGTCTTGAAAGAACACATTTTGTACAGAGGTGATATGCAAACAGCCAGCAGATACGCAAAAAAATTGCAGGAAAAAAGGGGAGACGGGACCCATTGCTTCATAAATGTAGCGCTTCCTTTTTTTCCTTTTTTGGTCTTTTTGAGACAGGGTCTCTCTCTACAGTCAGGCTGGGCTGGAGCTCACTCTGCAGCCCAGGCTGGTCCCAAACCCCCATGCCAGGCTCATCCTCTTCTTTATTGGTCCTCTGTGGGTGGCAGTCCTCCTCACCCTGAGGACTGCAGGCTGTGGGGGAGCTGGGCTGGGCCGCACCCCAGCCCTGCTTTTCATTTTGTGAAGACACTCTGCACAGACCTCCCAGAAGCAGGTTTTTGCTCTCCTCAGACCCTCTCCAGCACTACTTTCCTTTTCCTTCTGAGAGTGTGTGTGTGTGTGTGTGTGTGTGTGTGTGTGTCTGTCTGTCTGTCTGTCTGTCTGTCTGTCTTCGCTGGGGATTGAACCCAGGGCCTTCACACTGACCTATACCCCCAGCCCCTTTTTCTTTATTTTGAGACGGGGTCTTAGTAAGTCTCTAAGTTGTCCAAGATGAGCTCTACCTCTGGGTCCTCCTGCCTCAGCCTCCCAAGTGCTGGGACGACAAGTAAGCACCTCCATACCTGCCAGACTTGTTCCTTATCGACTTGCTGGCCCAAAAGGGTTAATTTTAGGTTAAATCACCTCAATGATTTAAAAAGGTTTTGAAAATCTACACATCCTCCCTTTGTTTTTTGTTTTTGCTATTTTGCAATATTGGAGATTCATCCCAGGGCCTGTGTTGCCCTGAGCTACGTCCCCAGACACCCAACCCCCTGTTTTTTAATTTTGAGAGAGGGCTCAGGAAATCGTCCATGTTGGCCTCAAACCCGTGCCCTCCCTGCCTCAGCCTCCCAGAGCACCTGCCACCTTTTATCTTGGCTCCTTGGCTCCTCCTTTAATCTGTGGAAAGGAAGGAGAACAGAAGTACCTTTTGCCCATGACCGCAGCCCTGACTTTCTCAGAGCCAGCACAGCCTTTGTTTTGTTTTGTGTTTTTTTTTTTTAAACATTCTCTTGGGGTTTTTTTGTTTTAATTTTATTTATTTGTGTGTGTGTGTGGCCAGCTCAGTCCACCAGGGGGCAGGGCTGGCTGGCATGTGGTGCTGGGGGATTGAACCGC